CTTACAAATGTCTGTGTCCAGTTGCAGGTCGTTCGACAAAAACTAGAGAAAAACTCAGATATATTAAATCCATGTTTTGTATTGAGTGAGAAATGCCTCTTGCATGTGTTTTGATCTGTGTGACTCGCTGTCATCTACTTCTACACGTGGCCACGTCGCATAGAAATGACTAGTTCCTGCAAAAATGCTGGGAAATGCTAGATGTTAACGGCTAAGATGGTGACACTAAAATAAAAAATAATATTTAAAAAAACAGTTTAGTAAACTAACTAAAAATAAAACCATTGTAAATTGTTTAGTTAAAAAAATAAAATCATAACATTGGGCAAATATCAAATGGGGTTTTCAAGCTTTTTTTATGGTGTTTTCAAGCTTCTGAATCTGGCGGGTAAAAGCTGCCAGTAGATGCCAATGTTTCAAACAGGCCTAGCTTGTGCATCAATATCACTCGCTATCACTAGCTAACAGGGAAGAAATCTGAGAACAAGCATGGAGCATGATTTGGCCAAGCTAGAACAGCTTTTGAAGTTGCTGGAGCCGTTGCATGCGTACAGATTCCTCTAGTAGCCAACTTTGATCCAACCACTGCAGCAGCTTGCCTGATGGACCCAAGTGTGTCTCTGGCACTTTGCTCAACAGAGAAGGAGCCACTGATGAGTGAAGCAGTCTTTTGTACTTCAGCAAATTAGAGCATACAGCCATGGAGCAGCAGGACCCCAGGAAGATACCAGCACGATGAATCCAGCAAGCATCTCGACCAGTGCTTCAGAAATAAAGTTCATTCGGAAAGTATTCAGACCCCTTAACTTTTTCCACATTTTGTTACATCACAGCCTTATTCTAGAATGGATTAAATTATTTTTCCCCCTCAATCTACACAATACCCCATAATGACAAAGCAAAAACAGGTTTGTAGAAAATTTAGCAAATGTATTACAAATAAAAAAACTGTCACATTTACATAAGTATTCAGACCCTTTACTCAGTACTTTGTTGAAGCAGCGATTACAGCCTCAAGTCTTCTTGGGTATGACGCTACAAGCTTGGCACACCAGCATTTGGGGAATTTATCCCGTTCTTCTCTGCAGATCCTCTCAAGCTCTGTCAGGTTGGATGGGGAGCGTCGCTGCACTGCTATTTTCAGGGATCTCCAGAGATGTTCGATCGGGTTCAAGTCCGGACTCTGGCTGGGCCACTCAAGGACATTCAGAGACTTGTCCTGAAGCCACTCCTGCGTTGTCTTGGCTGTGTGCTTAGGGTCGTTGTCCTGTTGGAAGGTGAACCTTCGCCCCAGTCTGAGGTCCTGAGCGCTCTGGAGCAGGTTTTCATCAAGGATCTCTCTGTACTTTGCTCCGTTCATCTTCCCCTCAATCCTGACTATTCTCCCAGTCCCTGCCACTGAAAAACATCTCCACAGCATGATGTTTCTCCCACCATGCTTCCCCGTAGGGATGGTGCCAGGTTGGCATTCAGGCAAAAGAGTTCAATCTTGGTTTCATCATACCAGAGAATCTTGTTTCTCATGGTCTGGGAGTCCTTTAGGTGCGTTTTGGCTGTCTGGCCACTCTACCATAAAGGCCTGTTTGGTGGAGTGCTGCAGAGATGTTTGTCCTTCTGGAAGGTTCTCCCATCTCCACAGAGGAACTTTGGAGCTCTGTCTGAGTGACCAACGGGTTCTTGGTCACCTCCCTGACCAAGGCCCTTCTCCCCCGATTGCTCAGTTTGGCCGGGCGGCCAGCTCTAGCAAGAGTCTTGGTAGTTCAAACTTCTTCCATTTTAAGAATGATGGAGGTCACTGTTCTTGGGGACCTTCAATGCTGCAGATATTTGTTGGTACCCTTCCCCAGATCTGTACCTCGACACAATCCTGTCTCGGAGCTCTATGGACAATTCCTTCGATCTCATGGCTTGGTTTTTGCTATGACATGCACTGTCAACTGTGGGAACTTATATAGACAGGTTTGTCCCTTTCCAAATAATGTCCAATCAATTGCATTTACCGCAGGTGGACTCCAATCAAGTTGTAGAAACATCTCAAGGTTGATCAATGGAAACAGGATGCACCTAAGCTCAATTCAACCGAAACTCATAGCAAAGGCTCTGAATACTTTTGGAAATAAGGTATTTCTGTTGAAAAATATATATAAATTAGCAACAATTTATAGAAACCTGTTTTCACTTTGTCATTATGGGGTATTGTATGTATGTATGTATGTATGTATATACAGTTGAAGTCGGAAGTTTACATACACCTTACCCAAATACATTTAAACTCAGTTTTTCACAATTCCTGACATTTAATCCTAGTAAAAATTCCCTGTCAGAATAATGGTAGAGAGAATGATGTATTTCAGCTTTTATTTCTTTCATCACATTCCCAGTCGGTCAGAAGTTTACATACACTCAATTTGGTAGCATTGCCTTTAAATTGTTTAACTTGGCTCAAACGTTTCGGGTAGCCTTCCACAAGCTTCCCACAATAAATTGTGTGAATTTTGGCCCACTCCTCCTGACAGAGCTGGTCGCACATGCTTTTTCAATTCTGCCCACACATTTTCTATAGGATTGAGGTCAGGGCTTTGTGATGGCCACTCCAATACCTTGACTTTGTTGTCCTTAAGCCATTTTGCCACAACTTTGGAACTATGCTTGGGGTCATTGTCCATTTGGAAGACCAATTGGCGACCAAGCTTTAACTTCCTGACTGATGTCTTGAGATGTTGCTTAAATAATCCACATAATTTTCCTTCCTCATGATGCCATCTATTTTGTGAAGTGCACCAGTCCCTCCGGCAGCAAAGGACCCCCATAGCATGATGCTGCCACCCCCATGCTTCACGGTTGGGATGGTGTTCTTCGGCTTGCAAGGCATCCCCTTTTTCCTCCAAACATAACGATGGTCATTATGGCCAAACAGTTCTATTTTTGTTTCATCAGACCAGAGGACATTTCTCAAAAAAGTACAATCTTTGTCCCCATGTGCAGTTGCAAACCGTAGTCTGGCTTTTTTATGGCGGTTTTGGAGCAGTGGCTTCTTCCTTGCTGAGCGGCCTTTCAGGTTATGTCGATATAGGACTCGTTTTACTGTGGATATAGATACTTTTGTACCTGTTTCCTCCAGCATCTTCACAAAGTCCTTTGCTGTTGTTCTGGGATTTGATTTGCACTTTTTGCACCAAAGTACGTTCATCTCTAGGAGACAGAACTTATCTCCTTCCTTAGCGTTATGACAACTGCGTGGTCCCATGGTGTTTATACTTGCGTACTATTGTTTGTACAGATGAACATGGTACCTTCAGGCGTTTGGAAATTGCTCCCAAGGATGAACCAGACTTGTGGAGGTCTACCATTTTTTTTCTGAGGTCTTGGCTGATTTCTTTTGATTTTCCCATGATGTCAAGCAAAGAGGCACTGAGTTTGAAGGTCGGCCTTGAAATACATCCACAGGTACACCTCCAATTGACTCAAATTATGTCAATTAGCCTATCAGAAGCTTCTAATGCCATGACATCATTTTCTGGAATTGTCCAAGCTGTTTAAAGGCACAGTCAACATAGTGTATGTTAACTTCTGACCCACTGGAATTGTGATACAGTGAATTATAAGTGAAATAATCTGTCTGTAAACAATTGTTGGAAAAATTACTTGTGTCATGCCCAAAGTAGATGTCCTAAAGGACTTGCCAAAACTATTGTTTGTTAACAATAAATGTGTGGAGTGGTTGAAAAACCAAGTTTGATGACTCCAACCTAGGTGTATATAAACTTCCGACTTCAACTATATATATATAAATAAATAATATGGGCGACACCTGGAGGGGTGTATATATGCCATGTTTAGTGCCTAGTGTCTTGCCATGCTAAACATATGACACTGAGTGTAATGTTAGCTAAACAGACGGTACCCAGGCTAATGATGGTTTGTCGTAACTGATGGCTTCTACAGTTGTGGCTAGATGTACTATAGCTACGGACCAAAAGTTGCATGTTCAAGTTGTGTCGGGAACAACTAGCATTTTATCTAAGCCCTAACCCTTTTGCCAATCCTCCTTACCTGCTACTTTAATTTGCCTAACCTGTTCTGACACTTTAGTTCTCCTAACCGGCTAATGTAAAGTCACAACCATAGAAGCCGTCAGTTCCGAGAAACCATCAGTGTCACCACACCGGTACTCAGTTCTGGCTCCTTCCCAAGTCAAGCACTGGGAGTATTATATTGATACTAGCAGCTACTATTTGTTGAAACTCAAACAGAATCTTTATTTTAGTCATAGCCATGGAATCCTTGGCTTTCCTTTCACTAGCTATCACTGGGTTCAACGTTGCTATTTTCTATATTGGGGCACACATGAGCTGTAGAAGAAAAGCATTATTATTAGTTCTCAGTCAGTCTAGGACAGTACATTGGCCCAATACTTCATACTGTCCGTTTTGGCTCTCCTCTTTCCCCAGGCAAGTGCCGGGGTCTGCGTACAGCCAGGAAACTGCGTAACCATCGCAGGGAGCAGAGATGGCATGACAAGCAGTACAAGAAGGCCCACCTGGGCACTGCCCTAAAGGCCAACCCATTCGGAGGGGCTTCTCACGCCAAGGGCATCGTGCTTGAGAAAGTGTAAGGCAAAACTGTAATGTTGCCTGATATTGTATGTTTTGGCTTCCACAATTACCTAGCTCAAAACCATCTCCCCTTTCTCCGTTAGGGGTGTTGAAGCTAAGCAGCCCAACTCTGCCATCAGGAAGTGTGTCAGGGTGCAACTGA